AGATGCTTCTGATAGGTTTTGAGGATCACCATCAAAGGTTTTGCTGAATAATATTTATGCGGCTCTTACTGTTTTCTTTCACAGGCTGGAACTCTCTTCGCTCTAACACTTGAAAAAAGTTGCTCATGCTTTTCATCTTTTTTTTCTATCAAATTGTAAACACTGTTTCTCGTCAAAAGGGCTGAAGGAGTTCTTGCTTTCCCTTGAAATTTTATTTTATTTTATTTTTAAAGAGAGAGAGAGAAAATCCCCTTTCTTGACTAATACTAATAATACAGGTCAAAGTGTCAGGAGATCTACAATAAATGGAAAACAAAAAAAGGTTTCCCTCTTTTTTCCCCTGCAGTACAATAGCCCTGGAATATAAATTACCAACGGAGATGAAATAATACTTCAAAGCCCACGGGGCAAAGCAGTGCTGTGTTTACAAAGTATTTTGGCCGGCAGGATGAAACATTAAAGAGATGGTAACCCATGGACTTGGAGGGGGGGGAGGTGTCGGTGAATGGCCTAAAACTAGCGTGAGGGAGAGTTTTTCGGTCCCTAGAGCCTGTGACCCCACGATATGCTTTGTTTGACATGGGCAGCTGCAGTTATCAACAGATGTTTCAGCAATAAATAATTGGTATCATCTCGGAAAAGGCCCATCTACCTGGGGAGAGGGCATAATACCCAAAACACTGCTCTGCTATTACAGCCACATTAATCTCCCATCTATCCAGGTTTCTTGGAGAGCTTACTGCAGGTGTTTTTTCTGGGAGAGAGCAGACAACTCTCTCAAGCTTTGTGTGTATTGTAAAGGAGGTTGGCCTCTGCCATAAATTTCTGTCCGAGGCCGCACACCAAAGGGAAAAAGGAAGGGGAGGGAATGGTGAGGATAGGAGAGAAAAAAAAAAGAAGCAAAATATAGAAGGAATATAAATATTCTGTTTGATCTGGAGTAATTAAAATTATTGGTTTCCCCAATCCTACATGTGCTATAGCATGGAAAAACGTATGTTTATAGCTTGCTTTTTCTCAGCTCTGCTATTCTTTGCCTTCATTTTTAATCAATGGAGCAAGTTAAAGACACAGAGTTTATATCCCAAAAGCGCCGTGGTTACTCCCTCACCTTGAATGAAGTGGGAACTTATTATGGGATAGGATTGTTTTGAAGCATTAAAAAAAAAACCAAACAATTCTCACACTTGCATATGAAAAATGAACTCGTTGGTGGGGAAGAAGAGAAGGAAGACTCTGAGAAGGAATAGGAAAACACATAAACTAAGTCACAGAGTGAAACCAATCATGAAAGCTTAGCTGTCCAGTTTCAGTGAAGTTTCACTTAGAAACGAGCAGCATAGCAGCCTCAAACAAAGTATACTCTCTCTCTCTCTTCTCTGTCTCTGTCTGTCTGTCTGTCTGTCTGTCTCTCTCTCTCTCTCGCACACACATGCACAGATGTATAACAATGACTGTGGTTGGGTTTTTGTTTTGTTTTTGAACTAACTGAAATAATATTAGTAGCCTAGATTAAAAGTTGCTGGGTCTGACTTCCTCTTAAAGTGCTAGAGTTGTCATTATTTATAACACAGGGTTTCGTTTTGGTTTTTTTTAGCAACTATACACCAGGGAGCTACACAAAAGAGAAAGACCTGAAGGGTCTTTGCAAAGTATGTACACCTTAAAACAATTATAGCTCACTGAATAAGCAAATATAAACTGATGCTCAGAATGCACCCAGAGTAAGTATATTATTAAAGATAAATGTAGATCTAATACTCCAAATTCTTGAAGATGCCAATAACTGACCTCATGAGCTGGGTATCAAAATTTTAAATTCTCAATGCCGTGAAGTGTCTGTTTGCCAGATATTTAGGATAAAGAGAGAAATCTGATGTTGAATAATGGGTGCATAACTATAAGAGTATTCTGAAAATATGAAGTACACAAATCAGATTATAATAATCATACTTGCCCCATATTTAGTGAGCTTTAAAAAAAACTTGATGTCTTTTCGATTGAGGTTAACACAAGCTCTCAATGACAGGGAGAGATATGTCCCAGAAGAATAGAATTGAATGAGTAAAATATGGGGAATAACATTGTGATAGACCACCTCTCCACCCCTTCCTGAGAGACAAAGCCCCAAGCAATGAATGTCTAATTAATGGCCCATCTATCTGCATGGGTATTCTGCCATCACCTGCCGTCATCCCTTCTTTTAAACACTTCCTAAAATTCTTAACTTTTCTATCAAACCTTTCTGGATTGATAGAGAAGAAATGTTTGTTTCATCACTGCCCATCTGATCTGGACATTTTCTCTCTAGTATCCGAGCCTATCTCATTGGAGTTGTATGTCAGTATGCTGTGCTGTCATATTTTGGCTTAGTGTTTCTATTAGGCTATCTGTCATGTGCTCATCTATAAAATGAAGGGGTTGGGTTAGATGGCCTCTGGAGCCCCTTCTGGCTCTAGCTCTATGATCCTGTACTTTTTTGTCCATGTTGGTATACTTTTCTTCGATCTCATTCTAGTAGCCAAGGCCCTATTGGTGGTATACTGCTCCTTGTTTGACACCATGTGTAATCAGATACAATGAATAATAATGCTAATGTTGCTACAAAGACTTGATCTCTGGCTTAATGTGTGTGTGTGTGTGTGTGTGTGTGTGTGTGTGTGTGAAAAGCATCATAAGACAAGCATCATTTCTTTTCACAAGCATTCAGGAAAAAGCAAGGAAGTTTAGCTAACAGCCAAAGCTGGGACTTTCAATGGCATCCCTAGTTCCTGAGCCTTGATGTAATGGGGGACTGGACAACAGGTTTATAGACCTTAGAGTGGTCAGGGTGTGTTCTTCCTGGTATCACTCATGTAGAAGCTCAGTGAATCTGTTTCCAGAAATTCATGATACAATGGAAGGACCTTTCCCTGGTTCAGAGTATTCATAGTTACTCTGTTTCCTGTCAGTTTACTCCATGGTGATGAAAAATCTAGAAGCAGCTAGGTGGCACAGTGGATCGAGGCACTGGGCCTGGAGTCAAGACCTCAGTTTACATGTGGCATTAGACACTTACTAACTGTATGATCCTGGGCAAGTCACTTAACTTATATTTGCTTCAGTTTTGCCAACTGTAAAATGAGGATAGTAACAGGTTGTTATGAGGATCAAGTAAGATAATATTTTTAAAATGCTCAGCACAGTAGTAATCCATATCCCTATGTATCCATTTCCCTTCACCTAATTGGCTGTTAAACTAGAAGTGAGAGTAAATAAAAAACAACTTGAACAGATAAAGGTCCCTCTCTCCCTGGTGGCTTTCCAGCAATGGAGGAAGACCTGCTGTAAGCCTCCAGGTAGAGGGGATGAGGCAGCTGTTTGGCCTAATTTACCTCCCCACTTGGTCATCAGGAAGGCTAGTAAATATGATGCTGCTATTTATTGCTGGTGCATGTTAATATTTTCCTTCTCTTAGATGAATGAGTATTGAAGACTCAATGCACCAGGCTACCACCTTGTTAGAAGAGCCACCTCAGTCCCTGGGGAGAGTGGACTGAAAAATAAATTGGCTACTACTAAACATTCCTCCCAGAAGGTTCACTTCTGGGTCTGGCACAGCCGATAGATGAATCACTTCTTTGCTTGTAAGATGCAGTGTCTTGGCTGCCAGATCAAGTCACTGCTGGGCTGGGTCGAGTTGACCCCAAGCTGGCTCCTCAGCAAGTCGGCAAACACTGCTATGCACCCCAGTCATTGAAGCTCACGAGTTTATGACCTGGTCTATTTATTCTACCTTCAATACCCAGTCACCTAAAGAGTAAGGAGGAATAAACATGAGAGAGACAAAAACAACTGTGCCATGTGTTCACAGACACATGACAGCTTAGGTGGGGAGATAGGCAGTTGGTGGCTGCAGGCCACAGCTAATGCCTCTCTTCACACCTAGAGGCATATGGCATTGCTTCTTCCTCCCTTAAATGCTGCCAAGAAGAGAGAGAGAGAGAGAGGTTAAGTTTCCCCACCGAAGCCTTTTGAATTCACACATAATTCCAGTTTAGCAATTAAGTAGAAGCCTTTTTATCACTGTGGATTTAGCCAACAGGAAACAGGATAGCTGCATACACACATAAGTGGAGACATTTTCCCCCATCACATCATATATTTCTGGAAGCATGCTTATCAAGTCTCGGTATAATTGATATTAAGCAGAAGATATTGTGCATGCTCCAAGGACTGCATTCTCATTGGCCAGTCCCCTGTTACTCTGAGTTCACGTGTGATAATGGAACCTTCTATCACCCAGAGTAGTGGTATAAGTGTGCCCCAGTATCATACATCCACGTTCGTATTGAAGTTTCTAGAACTGAGTTCAATGACTGAAGAATAAACATGTCGGTCATTCTGGAACTCATAAAGAGGCAGCTTCCTGCACTGATGAGGAAGGAAAAGGGGAAAGGAGACTAAGAACCACTGAAGGTATGGATTAAGTAACACTGAGACTTGAGATAACGTGTATATGGCCATACCACCCTGAGTAAGCCTGGTCTCAGAACACGAGCAGGGTTAGCTTGGCTAGTATTTGCATAGGAGGGCATAAGTTAAAGGCTAAATTTCCCTTAGCCCCCAAAGCAACAACACTTCTAAAAGTACTGTGGATTTTTTTTTTAACCATAGTCAAATTGAGGGAAGTACGAAACAAAAGTATATGAGAAATAATAGAATCCAACCTACTATTTCTAGCGTCTTAGTGGACCTATGAATGCTGTGCTATAATTGGTTGTAGGTGAGCTTTGTGACTACGATTCCCTTAGCTGTTGTTTCAGGCTTCCCACGGACAGACTTTCGGATGACCAGTCTTTTTCTAATAGCTACTTCCTCTCATTAGTAAATCTGGCAAAGCCACCATAAGGGACGGAGGCGTCTTGTGCTTCAAGAAATCTGATCTTGGGAGACATTTTTTAGACTCTAAAATGTTACACTTGCGGGTTTTAAAGGAACAGGTGGTGGGAGCTCCCTACCAGTAACTCATGCAGCCTGGCGCCGATCGCATCTTGCAGGTTTGTTTTGTCTTCGGGCCCCACGGCTTGTTTGTACTGCCACTTCTCTGGCACGAAGGGCCACTTCATTTCCTTGGCCTCTTGGATTAGGGTCCTTAACTCGCTGGGGAGTGAAGCTGAAAAGGTCAGAGTTCAGGTAAGGAAATTGCAGACAAAGAAAAGGCAACCCAGTCACTCGTGCTATGATGAAGCACCTCTGCTAGAAAAAACCAACCTCCCCCCTCCCTCTCAGCTTCTGCTTACATGCTACAAGCTGTTGTTTCTCACTCAAAGAGTAATAATGAGAAACTAGCTGTCAGGGGCTGCCTTCCTCTGCTCTGCCCTACAGGTAAATTGGGGTACTCAGGCATTAAAAAGTGTTTTTAGCAGGAAGCGAAGCACTCCAGTGACTACCTTTGCATGAAGAACCAGAGAAAGGAACGGCGGAAATATTATTTTCATTGTCAAATGGGGAACAGAATGGCATGGGGTGGGGGGTGGGGGTCAAGTGGCTAGAGGGGCAGGAGAGAGAATGAACCTGCTCATCTGACCCATTCTTACCTAGTGTATTCCATACTTTCACTAACAATGAGTCAGGATAGAGAAAGTAAAAAAAAGAAAAAGAAAAAAGAAAAGAAATCCAAGACCAAAAATCCACAAATCAGGTTTGAAAGGGAGTAATCAAAACTGAAGATAGTCATAGGATTAGAGGATGGGGTTGGGGAGTGGTGTAGAATTGATCCATCAAAAGTATTTTTTAAGCATTGACTATGTGCCACTGTGGTGGGCTCTGGAGATAGATACAAAGATAAAAATGAAACAGTCCCTGCTTTCAAGAAGCTTACATACTATTGAGAGACAAAAAAACATGTATAGACATATACAAAAGACCACGTAGGTACAAGATAACCTTGGAGAAGAGGCCACTAAACAGCTGAGGGAATCAGGAAAAGTCTCCTATTTGGAAGGTATAGCCAGAGCTCAAAGGAATATTTTAAGTGTCGAAAGAAAGTGGGGATTCCAGGAGGCTGAAATGAGGAGCCAAGGTGCTCCAGGGATGGGGGACAGAGCCAGGGAGATGGAAGAAGGATGTAGGAGATCATTTTGCTCAATCTTTTCATTTTACAGATGGAGAAACTGAGACTCAGAGTTGCCAAAGGAAGGGAAGCAAATATTTGTTAAGTGTCTACCCTGTGCTAAGAACTTTACAAATATTATTTAAATTGATCCTCACAACAACCCTGAGAGGGAGGTATTAATAGTATCCCCATTTTTACAGTTGAAGAAACTGAGGCAGACTGGGGTTAAGCAACTTGCCCGGGGTCACACAGCTAAAAAGTATCTGAGGCTGGATTTGAACCCAGGTCTTTCTGACTATAGACTCAGTGCTCTGTTCATTGCTCTACCTTTTGTTTTTCGGTTGTGTCTGATTCTTTGTGGGTTTTCTTGGCAAAGATAATGTCTGGACTGCAGTTGGATAGATAGGTTTAAAGAGAATTAATAATTCAATATGGGCAGCTAGGAGTCAGTTAGGTGGTGCAGAGGATAGATCACCAGGCCTGGAGTCCCTTGAATTTAAATCCAGCCTCAGACACCTCCTAGCTGTGTCAAGTCACTGAACCCTGTTGGCCTCAGTTTCCTCATCTGTAAAATGATCTGGAGAAGGAAATGGCAAACCACTCCAGGATCTTTACCAAGGAAACCCCAAATGGGATCACAAAGAGTTGGACATGACTGAAAAACACTTCTTAGCCGTGTGACCCTGGGCAAGTCACTTAACCCTTTTCCCCTCAGTTTCTTCATTTGTAAAATGAGCTGGAGAAAGAAATGGCAAACTACTCCATGAGAACTCCAAATGGGGTCATAAAGAGTTGGACATGACTGACAGGACTGATCAACAACAATATTGCAGGACCTCTCCTTCCTTTCACTGTTTTTCAAGTATCACTGACGGTGGCTCAGCAATCACTTCTACCAGCTCTTTCAGGACCCAGAATGCAGTTCAATGAGGTCCAGTGAATTGAATTTATCAAAGGCAGTTAAGTGCCCTCTTACTATCTCCTCACTTGTCTTGGATATTAGCTCCAGGGTGGTCATTTTTGTTCTGTTATTTACAGTGTAAAAGGTCATTAACCTTTGCAGAGGAAACACAAACAATTAAGATTGAACCCTGCCTTCTTTCTGTTGTCAGTTATCATTGTTCCATCCACCCCCACCAAAGATCCTATCCTTCTGATGATTCATTTTTTTCTCAAAACAAGACCCTTTTATTGTCTTTAGTTTTTCTCACTAGCCCTAGCTCACTCAGAACTTTAGTATTCCTATCGTTATTTTTATAGGACTGATTCCTGGGCCTTGCTTCAAGCTTCAGTACATTTTTTTAAAAAAAATCTAAATTGTTTGTTCCCCGTACATCCACACTGGTCTCTTCACATAAACTCCATTTTTCCTTGTCTCTTCAGAATTTCATTCTTGAGCATCTTCCATCCCTCCTAGGCAGATTTGGTCCGAAACATTTCACTTGATGTGATCTTACAATCTTTCCTCTGAACTCTTTGAAACCTGCTTTCCTAAAATATAAGGTCCATGTCAGATTATGCCTAGATTGCTTCTCATTCTCTATCACCGACCCTACGGTAAAGTGGTTATTTCCCATCCCCCCACCCCACCCTGCTCAGTATTTGCCATTATTTTCACTTTAACAATCAGTTCCTCCATGGGATTGAGAATTAGATGCAGAATAAAATTTCACCTTGTTTTCTTCTTCCACTATTATTAGGGCAAGTCAAGAAGTTGTTAGTTGTTCTGCTTTCGGCAAAGCAAATGCAATTTTTCCATCCCCAGATGCATTCTAGAGCTCTCAAAAACTGATTCCTGAGAGCCAGTTTTCCGTGTGAGTACTTCTGTCTCAGTAATCAGCAATAGTTATACATTGGGGCTTAATTTACTATTTTCTCCATAGTCTAGACTTAAAAAAATGAAAGGAAAATGTTAATAATGTAGAATGTCTAGACATAAATATTTGTGTTGTGCATACACCCCTTCCTGGAAAGCTACTTGTTAAACATTTACCAGCATCTCACTGCCCACCATTGCATGTATCTATGCCAGGCCGGTGATCTGTTTTCTGGATGCCTAATCCATTCCATCTTTTTTGTCCAGGTGATCTGTAGTATATACCAATGACAAACTTACTCCTGTTTTTTCCTCCTTTGATCTTTACTGAAATACTTTCTCCACTTCTGCTACAGAGGCAGCTGGTGGTACAGGGGATACAGCCCTGGGCCTAGAGTCAGAAAGACCTCAGTTCAAATTTGGCCTTAGACACTTAGTAGCTGTGTAACCCTAAACAAGTCATTTGCCTCAGTATCTTCAACTGAAAAATGGGGCATAATAATAGCACCTTCTTTGCAGGATTGTTGTGAAGATAAAATGAGATACTATTTGTAAAGCAATTAGAATGGTGCCTGATAAATAGTAGGTACTATGTAATTGCATATTCCCTTGTCCCTCTATACTTTCCTTCTTTGATTCCTGGATTTCTTGGTATGAAAATAACATTTATATATGTGTATATATATATATATATATATATTGCTATACCACCCTCCCCTTTTATCTACTTTGCTTCTTTTGAATAAGGTATGAAATCTAGGGTATGCAGTCATTTACAGCTGAGTCTTACATACTATGTAAGAGTGGCTCTCGAAAAGGATGGACCGAAGCACCGTAGTGGGCCTTGGGTTTCACTAGATATGCTGCAAAATTTTGGATGTTGCATTATTGTAGATGAATTGTCCAGCTCATGCAGTATGGGAACTATAGTATGAACAAAACTTGCCTGTTGCATGTATAGAGCAACCTCAAAGCAAATTAGACCCTTGAACCTGAAAAAAAAAACTCAACAAAAACAGCTGGTCTCATTGAAGGAAAAGGCACACGCACAAGCCTCCCATAATGCTGCCAGCTTTAATATACAGACTGCCTGGGTTCCTTAGGAAAAAGAATACTGGCTTATGAGCAAAAAAATAAAAAAAAAACCCAAACAAAAAACCAAAAACTTGAAAACCACTGCCATCAATTTTTTTTTGCAATCAATTTCTGGAAATATTTCTAATGTGGGTCTGACTTTCTTTTTTGTTAAGAATCTTCTTTTGGTGACTCAAGTGTTAGGTAACAGTACTTGGTACACACCTGTGATTTGAGATGGCACATGATTGCCACACACCTATGAACTACTGAGTAGTTTTGAAGAATACAAAAACATTTTCATGGGACAGGACCCATCTCATTCTAGCCTCCTCCATATCAACCTTTCTCTAAGTTCTTTATCAGCAAAGTCCAATGGGAAATACCAAAATGGGGGGGGGGAAATCCCCATAATAAGCCTTTTCCACTTATGTATTTGGCTTTCAGTTCCTTTTTTCCCCTTTTAAATCTCTTTGGGGAGACTCTCCCATGCTGACAAGAACAATATCGGAGGGAAAGAGTGGAATTGGGGGGGAGGGCAGAAAAAGAGGAATAAAAAAGGCTGTGTTTGTGTTCAGAGAATCCCTTTGGCTCAAACTGCTGCCATAAGTGACCCTGTACTAATGCCATTCTGTTGTTGCACATGCAGGCTTGATGAAATCAGTGAGCACAATCCGCCTGCTAGGGCTGTTCAGAAACCACCTGCCAGAGGAGAAGGGATCTGCCATGCGAGCCCAGCCAGCCTCCCCGCCAATCCATGCCCTCCAGTGGCATGTCCACGCATGGCAATTGTGCTCCGTTATTAAGAAGACTGTCTCAGGCTCTGTAGAGATGCTTGCTCCTTCTTTCCATTTATTCTATTCAACCAGCCCAGGGCAGTGGTTTTCAGCACAAGCAGCAGCCTCCCCTTGCCCTTTGATTGCCTGCTTCCTGAAGCTCCTTACCTGAAGGGCCGTGTCTAATTTCACCATTATAAAGTGTTGATTTGCCTTATCTGGAACTAAACTGATTATTTCTCCCATTCTGTGGCATTTGAGAGGAAAGAGAAGAAGAAAAAGCAATACCTGATTAAGGGGTTCAGGGTATCCCCTAAAAGGAGATCACAAGGTTTAAAAGAATTTGTTACAAGGAGGAAAAGTGTCCTACGGAGAAAAAAAAGGCATCACCATCAATGACAGAACATTACATGCTGCCCATGGAGAGAACCACGGACAGCTACTCAGTCTGTTTTTAAAAGACCAGGGGACCTGTCAGTGATGGCCAAGGGGATGCTTGTATGAAAACACAGATCCCAGAGCAATAAGCATGTTTTTAGATAATGGCCTGATTAATACTCCTGACTGAGACATGCTAACTCAAGTTGACAAATGACTGGTGATAGAGCGTGTTATATTGAAAGAGCACAAAAGGCAGGTCACAAAAAATTGAGACATAAAAAGAGAAAAAGAATCTTGCATTAGAAAAAGGTACCTAAATCATTATACACACATCAGTATACATATGTATAATGTTTCAAATCTCTCACACTACTTTGTAGCCATTGCAGAATAACAAAAATAAGAATATAGTGTGAGTCTAACATGTCTTTCTATTTACAAAAAAAAAGTATCAAATTCTCCCAAAAGAAAAAAAAGAAAGGAAGAAAAGGAAGGAATGAGGAGATAATGACACAGTCATGTCGATGGGATCAGAGAAAGACCAAGCCAGACTAAAAGTGAATTGTCACTCTTATAACTAGAGAGAGAATATGTAGGGAGTCACTTTTTATACTTTCTGATCTAAAATCACACCTTTTCTCCCACAAACTTTTTCAGAATACAAAATTAAACACAAACTAAAATAATGGTACAACCAAGAGTTTTCATGGCATTCATTCCACATACAACTTTTTTTTGCTATGTATTAGAATTGATTGCTTCCATATCTCTGTGTCATTAAGACATTAGTATATAAATCTACTGATGCCCTTCAAAAGAGAGATTGGGCTGGGGGCATGAAACATAAACCCAAACTCCAGAAATCTTCAAGTAGAGGCTCAAACTGAGGTTTACTTGCTGTTTGTCTTTTTTATTTAAGAAGTGGCACCACTCAGAAGTTCATTTTTTTAATAATTAAAATTTATGTGCAGCAGCAAACTTAGGGCCATTGTTCCTCTTGAACTAAACGGTTCCTTGTGGTCTCATGTTTACTGGAGCCTAAAATTGGAACTGACAGCAATTCACTTCAACAAAGTGGGCTTCCTCCCCTGCCTGCCTGCAGCCCATGTCCCATTCATGCCCCAGAAATCCAGCCATCTCTCACTGCTCATCTGCCAAAGACAGATAAATGGGGCAGGGAGGAGGACAGGCATCACGCAAGGACCGGCTGAGAACATGGAACCAGTGGACTCCTTTCTGGTCTCCTTCCCCCACATCTCACCTTGGCACTGCTCATACTGTCTCTTGTCTTCCTTCCCCGATCCCCACGAGAGCGTGTCCAGGGCTCCTTTGCACTCCCGCAGCAGCCCAGCCACGGCTTTTTGATTATTCATGATGATTACTCCTCCTCAACTATGAATCGGGTGTCCCTGGGTGCAGAGTGATCAATTACCCAGGAGAAGACACAGATTCTCAGTAAAGGGATCCCCTTCAAGGCGGAGGTACCTGGTGAACAAAAGAGATGAGGGGAGATAATTAACTAAAGCATCATCAATTATCCGCAAGGCTCAAGCAGGGAGACATAATAGGGACAATGCATGGAAATACATGACAGCCTCTGAGGACTTTATTAGAGGACAGTGTGAAATTACCACAGGGCCTACTCCAGAGGGAGAACACCTCAGAAGAAGCAGAGAGCAGAAGGGAAAGAGCCCCAGGGTGGGCCGGCAGCCAAGTGAGGAGGCCCAGCAAGCAGTAGACACTCTGGATTTCTCTACCCTCTTTACGATTCATATTCATGCATTTGGATACTTTTAGGGACAGACAGGCATCAGGCTCTCTAGCTCTGACAGACTACAGGAAGCAATCATATAATCCCAGTCTTGAAATTCAGTAAGTCAGCAAATATTTATTGAGCACTTACTAGATGTTGAGAACTCTGCTGGAGATATAAAGAAGGGCAAAAATAGGGAGCAGTAAATATGAGGTATATAGATAGATGGATAGATAGATAGATAGATAGATAGATAGATTGATAGATAGATATAGATATTAGGTAGATAGATAGATAATGGAAAATAATCTCAGAGGGAAGGAGGTAGGAAAGGAAACCACCTACAATGAGCCATATTATCTTATTTGATCCTTACAAATCTTGTGATTTAAGTGCTATTATGCTGTCCCTTTTACAGTTGAGGAAACTGAGGCAGGCAAAGGTTAAGTGACTTGCCTTTTGTCCTACAGCTACTAAGTGCCTGAGGCCAGATTTGAACCTATGTCTTCCTGACTCTTGGCCCAATGCTCCATCCAATGCCCCACCTAAGCTGCCTCAAGGGCAGGAAGGGACTGGAAAAGGCCTCCTGGAAGATAGGTCTTGAGGGACCTAGTGACCTGGTCATGAGAAGAGCACTGAGCTTACCCTTCTCATGACTCATTGTGGAGTTCTTCATGCAGCATTCTACATATGAATACTTCAAGGGGTGTGTGGGGTGCTCAGGGAGGAGGGCTTGTCAAGCCCTTTTCAGGGCTGCTCATCCACCTTTGGTGTCCACCTAGCATTCAACTCTCACCTGTGCCTCCAAGAAGGCGTAGCATGTGCAGCAGCAGCACCTTGGTAAAGCCGTCTTGGCAGACAGACTAAACCAGGTTGACAGTAGCAGACAGGCTTCAAGCCCATTGATGAATTAGGTGGATGTTTGCCACAAGGATGTGAAGACTTCTCCTGGTCGAATGGGCAGATGAGGACAATTTGTTACAAAAGCCATGAAAGCGGCTGAAGCAGGCACTGTGGAGAGCTTAGAGCTTGGTCAGGCATTGAAGATGCCAAGGTCATTCACTGTACCCCAGGTCATCACCAGTCATCTTGACTTTTGCCCTGCCAATGGACTTTGATGATTCTGGAAGAGTGACGCTGCCAGACTTTGTGCCTCACTTCAATTCAATTCATGCTCAAGTCAAGACATGACCCCATAATATCATTGGTCATCTGACAATGAAGAGCAAGTTTGAGAGGTACTAAGATTTGGAGTTATAGATGCCAATGCATTTTCAATCACTGTGATCAACACAGTGAGAAACAGCATCCTTAGAAGATAGAGACTAATTTTAAAATGAAGATCTGGAAAACACTTTCTTTCTGCAACTTCATGGGCAGCAAAGGAGCATACCCTGGCTCGATGAACTCAAGAACAGGATAATTTCTTTACCCTGCACAGAAGCCTTGCTGGAAATTCACAATGCGTCCTTGGCTAAATCACTTCCCCACTTTGCACTTCAGTTTCCTAATTTGTAAACGAGGGAGCTGGACTACATGATCCCTAAGATCCCTTCTTGTTATCATATTCTGTGACTGAAAAGAAACACCCCTAAAATAACTAGACTGACAAATTTTTGTCCCATATTCAATCAATCAACCAATAAACATTTAGTAAGAGTCTACTATGTGCCGCACGCTGTGCTGAGCTCTGGGGATACAAAAAGAGGCAAAAGCTAGTTCCTGCCCTCAAGGAGCTTACAATCTAATAATGGAGACACCACACAAATAAATACATGCAAAGCAAGCTATATATAAGATAGATAGGAAATAATGAAAATAGTCTAGCTGGGTCCCTATTAATGTGAATAATGAATGGAGTGATCATGTTATTAGAGCTAGTGAATAGTGCAAATTTTAATACATGTGGGGATTCATTCTGAGGATTTACTATTCATACAAATCAGACACTACCTGTATTTCTTACTATTTGCTGAGTATGAATCAACATTCATCCTGCTAAACAGATAAGTAGATAATTAGGAGATTCTTGTCAAGGTTAAACTATTGCTGAGTGCATCACAGGACCTAGAGTCCAGGGCAGTGGTGATGCACAAAGAGGGCAGAGAGTAGCTGTACACATAGATTCCATTCCCTTTGACCTAGTCTCTCTCCCAGTGTGTCATGCAGTGATGTGATAATTAAGTTTTTAATAGCAGTTTAGAAAAGTCAGATTCTTCTTCTTGATGGGTTCATTTTGAATTGAACAATTATATGAGACTTGAGAAGATGGGAAAGCTTTCTCTTCTGTTCTGGGAATCAAAGGCAAGCTGAAGATGTAGAATGAATTAGTAACATAAACTAGGTAAGATAGTGGATAAAATCACAGACCTAGAAGAGCACTGAGGCCTCTAGTCCAATATAGCTTCTTCCTCTCACAGATAAAGAAATAGACCCAAAGAAGTGAGAGAATTTGCTCAATGTTACATAGGTAGTAGGTGACAAAAATAGGATTCAAACCTAGCTTCTGTAGTCATATTAAAAGCATTTCCCCCACAAAACCATGTTGAATATCAAATGTAATCAAATCCAACAAATGTGAATCAAATGAATGAATAAAATATTTATTAAGCATTTAGTATGTGCAAAGTAGGTGGCAGAGTGGATAGAATGCCAGGCCTGGAGTTGGGAAGATAAATCTTCCAAGTTCAAATCTGGCCTCAGAGACTTACTAGCTGTGGGACCCTAGGCAAGCCTCAATCTCCTTATCTGTAAAATGAGTTGGAGAAGGAAATGGCAAACCACTCCAGTATCTTTGCCAAGAAAACACCAAATGGGGCCACAAAGGATTGGCATGACTGACAAATGACTGAATAACGACAAAAGTCAGTACAATTTTAAGCTTATTAGGGCTATTAAAGCTTAAAACAGCACTAAGACTTTTGGGACACCTTACATATGTGGCTATTTCTATGTCTATTTTCATGTCATATCTTTATATCTATCTATAAGTCTATATTTATATTTATATACAGAAGATAGTTAAATACAAAGTAGTTTGGACACTAGCAGTTTGAGGGATCAGGAAGAGCTTTATGCAGATGTCTGTGATGCACCCTAAAAGAAGAGAGCATACTCTGTGAGGCAGAGGCAAGGATAGAGTGCATTCCAGGCATAAGGGATCACCACAACAAGGATGTAGAGATGGGTAGAATGGGGCATGGTGTCATAAATTAAGCATAGAGAGAAGGCCAGTTTCAATGGATCCCAGAATGTGGGAGGGGTGGTAGTGTCCAACGGAAAAGTGGGTTGAGATCAGGTTGTGTAATGCTGTAAAAGTTAAGCAGAGGAGCTCATATTTTGTTCTAGAGGCAATAAGATGGCATTGCAGTTGATAGAGTAGTGAAGTCATGTTGTCAGATCTGTGCTTAAGGAAATTACTTTAGCAGCAGAGTGTAGAATGGACCGGAAATGGGACAGGCTCAAGGCAGGGAGATCAAAAAGGAGGCTTTTGTAACAATCTGGATGAGACGTCATGAGAGCTCGTGCTGAAGTGGTAACTGCATAGAAAGAAGAGATTGGATGAAAGAGATATTGTTAAGATAGAAATGACAAGATCTGGCAACTGATTAGATATGTGGGGTGAGGTAAGGAATCAAAAATATTGCTGAGATTATAAACCTGAGACAGTGGAAGGATGACAATGCCTTTGACAGAAATAGGGAAGTTTGGAATAAGAGAGGGTTGAGAGGGAAAGATAATGGTTCAGCTTTAGGCATGTTGAGTTTAAGATGTCTCCATGTGAAAATGTTCAACAGGCAGTCTTCTATGACTAGAAACATTGTAGATAGCATGATGAGATCACTGCCCTCTCTCTGAATAAAGTAAAGACAGAGGGATGAAGCCAAGATAGAACTTAGTGTCTTGAGAAGAGAAAAAAACCAGAGTGGCTGGCATAAAGAAGTACCTGGAGTATCAGCATTGGCACAGCTACCACCATCACTTATTTCCATGCCTTTGCACTGACTGTCCCCAAGTGTGGAATATTCTCCCTCCTAACCTTTATCCTCTAGAAATTCCGGCCTCTTTGAAGACTCAGCTCAAGCCCCACCTTCTACAAGAAGCCTTCCCTGGTGCCCTCAGCTACTAGAGCAGAACCTTATCCTCTATGATTACTGTCAATCCACACAGTATATGTATACGCATATGCATAAACATATGTATGTATATATATGTATGTGTATAAATGTGTATGTGTCTATACATTAATGTGTATAAACACAGACACAGACATACACACACACACACACACACATATATACATGTATATATTTCTTTAAAAGTTGTCTTTCCCATTAGAGTATAAGCTCCTTGAGGGCAGGGATTGTTTTTACCTTTCTTTGTATTCTTAGCACTTAGCACAGTGCCTGTGACATATTGTGTTTAATAAATGCTTGTTGACTGACAACAATTTGACTTTATCTTTGTCTACAGTCAATAGTGTCCCACTGCAACAATAAAGTTGTATGGGGGAAAGTGTGAATCAAGCCATGGAGACATAAGAAAAGGGGAAGAGACTAGGGCACAATAAGTAATATGGTTTGGTTGGAATGTATACATGAAGGAGAATTAATGACTGCAAAGATACATTAGAATTAAATTGTGGAGGGCTTCAAATGCCAAGGTAAGGAATTTGATTCAGTTTTGCCCTCTCTAGACATCGCTCCCTTATATGTAGTGTTCTCCATTGTTAGAATGTAAGCTCCTTGAAGGCAGGGACTATTTTGCTTTTTGGATTTGTATCCCCAGCATTTAGCACAATATCTGGCATACAGTAAATGCTTAATAAAGGTCTTTTCATTCATTAATTCATTTGTTCATTCATTTATCTAGTCCAAACAATATCCAAACCATTAATACCATTTCCAGTCCCAAATTTAAGTAGCTTCCTATTGTTCTCATCAAATGGAGGTAGAAGAATGAATTATGTCATGCTGCTCCAGCTGTGAATACAAGGATCTAGTACTAAAATGAAAAAATCTACTTCTTTTTAAAGAGTAGATTTGTATCTGTGTTGTAGGGAGCTATGTGTTTCAATACTTCAATTCCTTTAAAACTATTTTCATGTAAAGTTGAGGACTCTAAAATTAAGATTCCAATTGAGTCCAATTAGAGCAATTAGCTTTTGCAAGTAATCAGCTCTTCATACCTATACCAATAAAGGAAAGGAGAAGCATAATACCGAATAAGTGATAACAAAACAGTGCTTGAAATTGACTCTCAAATGAGATCAGATATTCATATGTGAAAAAAAAAAGATTACAAGAACCACATACACACTTGTGCTTTCTTTTCCATCTGTCTGATCCTATACCCCTTCACAGCTCAGCTGTATTGCTGACCCAAAAATCTATCAGGAGGGGTCGAGGGGAGCTGTCCTTGGTTGTTTTGGGATAATTGGCTAATCCTGTAATTTACTTACCAATTTTCAACCCTATGGATTATCTGGATCCTTTGTTTCTTGGTGGTTAGCTGCCTCTGGGACATTTCACTGATCATTAGTACCTTTGCTAGAAAGAGGGAAAAAAATAAAAGGAACAGAAAGCCTGATTGGGTCAATTTTTTTCTGCTTGTTTGTTCCATCAACAGACAGCCCACAAATCAGTTCTTCAACAAATATTATTGAGCAAGGCACAGAGTCAAACACATTGTGGTCTAGAGGAATGAATGCAGGAGTTGGGAAACCTGCGTCTGAATGCTGGCTTGTTATTATATTATATCACTATTATATATTGTTGTTACAGATCTCAAATTTTAAGTTTAGAAGGGTTAAGTGACTTGCTCAAGGTCACACAAGCAGTAAATTGAGAGAGATTGGATTTGAATATAAGTTCTCTGGTTCCAAATCCACCACATTTTACTAGTTGTGTGACTATAGGTAAGTCACAACCACTCAGACCCTCAATTTGTTCATCTCTACAATGGGAATAATAACAGTGCACACCATCTTCCTCACAGAATTGTTATAATTCTTCTCTTTGCAAACCTTAAAGCACAATAGAAATGCATATTTATTATTTTATTACTATTATTAATGCTCCCTCCCCTCAAAGAATTTATAATATAGTTGCAAGGAAGTACAGGAAGCCCCCTGCGCTAATTCAGAAATAGATTGTAACCCTAAAGTTCATTGTAAAGTAGAATGTTCAGAATTTAAAATTCATTTTCCCATAAGAATACAGAGGGTAGGTCCCTGGCTTAGCTCACAAACACCCATTAAGCCTCATAGTGTTCTGAAAGTACAGCACAGCTTTTAACAACAGAATTATTTTGCACTAACTTTCCCCACATGCTTTATTTTTTTGCAATTGTTGCCTTTAAGTCTCAGCCCTGATGAACCTTAATCATCTACTCTCTCCACTCCATCTGTAAGGCTGTGTAATGTTTTGATTCATCCTCTTTAATGTCTTCTCTTTAGTCTTTTGTTTTGTCTTTTTCATTCAATTTATTTTCACAGTTTATTTCATGTCACACACTGTCTATTCTCATCTCAAGTCTTATTTCCATGTCTTTATACTTTCTTTTTTAATTTTAATTTTATTTATTTATTTGTTTTTAGTTTTCAACATTCAGTTCTATAAAATTTTGATTTTTCTCCCCTCCCTCCACTCCTCCCTCCCTAAAATGGCATGCAATCTGGTATAGGCTATACATGTACATTATGAAATAATATGAAACATATTTCCACATCAGTTATGTTGTAAAGAAGAATTAGAACCAAAGGGAAAAACCATGAGAAAGAAGAAACAAAAAAGAAAAGTGAAAATCGTGTGCTTTGGTCTGCATTCAGACTCCTTAGCTCTTTCTCTGGATGTGCATAACATTTTCCATCTTGAGTCTTTTGGAATTGTCTTAGATCCTTGTATCCACGTCTTCATACTTTCGATAGGTCACCTCACGTTCTACTTTCCTAAAAAGAGCCAAGCTCTTCCTAATGTGGGCTCCTTCAACTCCTGCCACCAACATCTCTCCATTTTCACTCATCCTCTTTTTTTCTTAACCAAGGTGAAGAGTAGCTTTCCTTCCTTCCCACATGTGTCCCTACATTGTGTGCTCTCTGTCTTCTGCTAATAATTCACTCTATCAAACATGAAAGATCATATTTCTCTAGAGCTTTCAGGCTTATAAAGTCTCAGGACAGCCACCAAAGAAGATGGTGCAAATATTAGTCCCCCATTTTACAAATAAGGAAACTGAGGCTTAGCGAGGTAAGTACCAGAAACTAGATTAGAACTCTGGTGTTTTAGAACTCTGATCTCCAACTTTCCACTTCACCTGGGAATGATCCTATCTCTTTTTCACATCTTCAGTCTTTCCCTCTTCATTGGCTCTTTCCATTCTCCCTACAAACATGTTCAAGTCTCCTTTTTTTTCCTGTTTTTTTTTTTTTGTGAGGTGATTGGGATTAAGTGACTTGCCCAGAATCACACAGCTAGTGAGTCTTATGTGTCTGAGGCCGGATTTGAACTCAGGTTCTCTTGACTCCAGTAGTCTATCCAGGAAGAGCTCTATCGACTGTGCCACCTAGCTGCCCACCTCTATCCTTAAAACAACAATAAAACAAATCCCAAACCAACTTTCTTCAGTCTTGACATCCACCTGCTGCAGGTATCATCAATGACAATGTCAAAGTTGCAAAACCATCTACATTCACTGCCTCTATTTTCTTGCCACCCTCCCAATCTTCAAGGCTTTGCAGTCTTCACCTAAAACTGCTCTCACAAAAGTCATCAACAACCTGCTAATTGCCAAATCCGATACCTTTTTTATTAGTGGTCCTCTGATCTCTCTGCTGCTTCCAACGCTATTACCCACCTTCTCCTCCCTGATTCTCTTTATTCCTATGGCTTTTGTGAAATACTGAATAACCCTGGTTCTCCAATGTCTCACGTCTATTTTTAAAAAAATTTTTGGCTGGACCTGTGATTCATTGGCATAGAGAGTTCTAGTTGAAGGACTCCCTTTACCACTCCAGATTTGCCCCTGCTCTGCAATTTGCAGTCTTGGAGGACTGCCTGGAAAGCAATGAGAGGTTAAGTGATAGACCCACGTTAGCCCTCTATCCACTATACCATGCATCATCTTTAAGCGTAACTTAGAATGACAAGACTAGAACTTGGATGGACTTAAATAATCTGATCCAATCCCATCATTTTATGCATGATGATCTTCTATATCCTCATCTGTAAACTGAGGGTGCTGGACCTGATGATATCTGTGGTCTACATCCATGATCCATGCTCTGATAGACATAGGGAAGGATGTAGGAAATGGTGGTAAATAAGACCGCAAAGATAGATTGGAGCCAGAACGTAGAATATTTTTTTTTTCAGCAGGAAGTGGAGAGCCATAAAGCAGGGGAGTGATATAGCCAGACCTATGCATTTTCCCCTATTTTTATACTTCCAGTTTTATTGATGTGTTTTGTTTTTACATTATGTATTTACAAATACCTTTTATAGTTACCTATATGAAAACTCCCTTGTAATAAAGTAAAACAGTTAAGTGTGCAGTGACCTTGTCTGAACATGCATGCAACATTTTATATCTGTAGCATTTCCATCTCTGTATTTTTAAAAATCAACAGAAATGTATTTTTATTTCCCTCCCACTCCCCAGTCCATTTGAAAATAAATTTCTTGTTATAAATATTCAGTCAAGCAAAATAAATCTCCCCAAAGATTGTACACAAATACACACAGTCATATGTTAATCGATTGATCAATCAATCGATACATAGGTGTCACATTCTGTACCCAAATCCATCACCTCTATAATAGATAGCAGTTTTCATCATTGGTACTTTGGAATCATGAATGGTCATTATATCAACCTATGCATTATGGTGATTATTTTGTCAGGGGTCTATTTACCTCCCTTGATTAAAAGGTGTATTGAAGAAGGTAAAGAGAAGAAACAGGAAGACCAATTAGAAATACATCACAATTTTTTTTGGCAAAAAGTAAGGAAGGACTGGATTTGAACTATGGTAACAGGAATGCAAAGGAAGGAATGGATTTTAGAGCCATATTGGAGGTAGTATCAATAGGCCTTGCCAACAGAAATCAGTTGGATGCCAGAAGTCAGAAAGAGACAAATATGAGTTTTCTATAAAACCAAAGAGCTCAAAGATGAGCTTTTCTATCCTCTCATTCCAATGATGAGCCCATCACAATGGCTCAGTGTCATCTATTAGATGAAAATTACTCCTCTTCAGTCTTTACTTCACCTTGTTTAATTGGGTTAGGGACAGGACTTGTGATTTCATTGGTATAGGTAACTCCTGGCTGAGGAAAGTCCCTTTAGGGAGTTAAGAGCCTGGGCTTGGAGTCAGAAAAAAACAAGTTGAAATCTATCCTCAGACACTTACTAGCTGTGTGACCCTAGGCAAGTGACTTAGCTTAGCAAAGTCATACCTCAGCCTCAGTTTCCTTCACTGTAAAATGGGTAAAATAATAACACCTATTTCATGGGGTTGTTAGGAGGATCAAATGAGATAATATATATTTGTAAAGCACATAGCATGCTATCTGGTACATAGTAGGTACATAATAAATATCTGCCCCATCCCTCATTTACCAATGCAGGTTAGTACTTTGCACTTTATAATCTTAAAATGCTTTCCTAGAGCAATGGAATGGGGGGGGGAAGGGGGAGAACTGATCCTAATAAAAGGATCCTTATGAGCCACCTATTGACTTAGTTTTAAATGTGATATTTTCTATGTTTCATTGTATTTTTATATATTTTGTTAAATATTTTCCAATGACATTTCAATCTGGTTCAGGTCATACTGAGGGAGTGTTGCTATTGAAAGTGGTGTGTTTGACCCCTCTGGCTCAGAGCACTGAGAGTCTAAGTGACTTTCTCAGTCACTCCCACAGTCAGTATTTATCAGAAAGGTGACTAGAATTCAGGTTTTCCGGCTCCAAGGTCAGCTCCCAATCCGCCATACCATATTGCTTCTTGACTATTATTCAGTGATAGACATTGGTATATAGATATCTGAGCCATATAGTGTATATATATGTGTGTGTATATATGTATGTGTATATATATATATATATATATAATATATATATATATATATATATATATATATATAATAAAGTAGTATATAGATATCTGCCCCTCTTCTTGTGAATAATTCCTAAAAATCACTGGTCCTTTCAACTGATATCTTTCACATATCATGCCTATGACTGTTTGTAATCTAAATCTGTGGACAGATACTCCCCCCTTCCCCTACTCCACTGAAATTTAAAATTCTCTTGATCATATTCACAAATCCTTCAGTAAGTATATTTTTACCCACATTTAACAGATTCAGTCCTTTCCTGGCCGAGTCTATTTCTACATCTTCAGCAATGTGCAGAAATCCAAATTCCATTCTCAGAATTATTGCTTCCTGTTCTTCTGGTCTACAGTACTTCTCAGAAAAGAGGTGTGACCTATCATAACTTGTCTCTTCTTCCTATCACCAACAAGGGTAGCACCTCTACTGGTGGCA